GGTACACAGTAAAGAGCACATGGAGAGAACCAGAAGGACTCAAGTGCTGTGGCTGGATTGGTCTTGATGGTTGTCAGGCCCAGTCTCACCTACACTCACCACTGGAGAGTGACAAGCAGCGGCCTGGGACACATTCAGACGAGGTCCTGAGATGCGGGCATAACTGAGGCTTCCTTGCACTGCGACCAGAGCCAAGTCTGCAAATGCTGGCCAGCCAGGCTCTCAGGAGGCTGTCCGGACAGGTCAGAGGTCAGCTTGGAATGTGAGGGCCAGCCCTGGATAGTGATCCAGATATACCAGAGAACAGCCTGACACCAGCCCTCGCTTGCAAAATGTACCTCTCTTTTACTACCAGGTCTATATGGAGCCTATGCTACACCCGCGAGGCGAACACAGTTGAGGTGGGGAGAGAAGGAGGAAGGGGAGAAGGACTGACCTCCACTCTTTCATGGGCTCAAAAACACAAAGGGCTCCACAAACCCCACACTGTGGAGTACACGGTGTGGCAGGAACCCAAACCCACATGAGACCGTGCGATCTCTCCAGCCAGCCCCACACTCTTGGGCTCTTGTCTGGCTGCAGAGTGGCCTGGTGCTGTGGTTTGAATGTTTCTCCCACAATCCAACAATAGAAGAATTCCTGGGTTGATGGGTTGATACCGTGGCGGGTTAGTCCTTAAGGAAGTAGGCTCCTGTTAACAGGGGTGGGTTTGGGCCCCCCACTCTTCGTTGTGAACACTCTTGCTGTGTGATGGGGTACACAGCATGAAAACTCTCACCAAAGGCTGGTACCTTTTTACTGGATTTTCGCATCCTCAGAACTGTAAGAAATCAATTTTAATTGTGTATAAGATACCTACTCTGTTATATTTTGTTACACAGCGTGAAACCAATCAAGATACCTGACTATTAACCCCAAACACAGGCTCCCAGTGACAAGGCGGGCCAAGGGTAGGCAGGGACCTGTTGGGCTCACACCCACAGCAGATGTGCTGAGGGCCTCCAGTGACTCTGCTGCAGTCAACCTGCCGAGGCCGCTGTCCTTGAGCAACCTGGGCCCTGCACCAGAGGTGTAGGTTGTCCCGCTAGGGCAGCCACAGACTGCACTGTGAATCTCACTACTTTTGCAAAAAGAAATGTGGTCTGGGATGTACGCAGCCTAGGATTTCTTCAAAAAAGTAAATACATGCATCCAAGGGGTACTATGGATTTAGGAAATAGCCTTCACTTTGAGCTCATTCCCCATCGACTGAGGGTTAATAGCATGGCATTATTAGTTTAATTTCACAGTCTAATCAGTTTCCTGCTTTATTGATCGAAAGACTAAGAGCAATTGTGATTTTGTGAGGCCGAAAACTCTCAGCTAAGGGAATAAAGCCAGGTGGCTCTCTGAGCTTGGGGGCCTTGGCCTGGTCTCCCACGCCGCTCACCAACACAGGCTGCATGATCCGAGAAACTCCTCCCCATGCACTTCCTCCCGCCGTGAACTGCAGGATGTGGAGTGTCCAGACCAGAGACAGCTAGTCACTAACCAGCACCCGAAAGCCAGCCGGCCTCGTGACAGCCCCTCACTGCAGGGTCAGCCAGGCTCCCAGTCACCCCGCACGCCATTCAGAGCCCCAAACCGGCCAGAGCCTCATTGTTAACCGCCCCCCATCAGCAGAGCCCCATCTGTGCGGTGGAATTTTTTTTGTCACTTTTTCAAATCAGAATAGAAACAATTTTTAGTCTATAATTATCATTTCTTTTCTCAACAGACAAATGTTTCCTTTTAAATTGTAGGGCGGAAAAAGCAAAGAACAACATTTTAAACCAAAAAGAAAGACTAAAATTAATTTCCTCTTTACAGAAAAATAAAATACAACAGCCCTAAGAAGCCAGGGTTTTCTTTTTCCAAAAGAGCAATGAATGCAGCAGTGTGTTCACCGCCGCTGTTAAGGTCCATTTGTGAGAAGCTGGTCCTGGGGGAGGTCAGGTCAGGGCAGCGGTGCAGAGGCTGGGCACCTGGGAGGAACCTGGGCTGCTCATGGCGTTTGCGTTCACTCTGGATGAACTGCCTGAAGCGTTCTATAGGGAGCTTGCTGGGGACTTGGGGCCCTGGGAGTGGAGGTAAAGGCCTGGGGTCTATGGAGCCTTCGATGTGAGCTTTCTACCTGAGCCCTCAGTTTCCTCATCTCTAAAATGGGAGTGCAGCTTGTCTTATAAAGTTGTGGGCCCAACAAATCCTGCTGCTTTTCCCAAGAGATCATGAAGAGATGCCGGTTCTGCACACAGAGGCTGTGCCCCGGTACCCCTGCCCTGTCCACACACAGCAGGAGGGACACCGACACCCTCCTTGGGCAGGACAGCACCTGCCCTCAGCCATGTGGTCCTTGATGCACTAAGGGCCACCCTACCAGGCCTGAGCTGGGGGCTTCGGGTGCGTGTGTGCCGGCCTTGGAGGGGAGGGCAAGCTGAGAGCTCTGTGTGGCCGGGCCAGCGCCTGCTCAGCTGATGAGGCAGAAAGGCAGAAAACACAGGGAAGGAGCACCGAGGTGCGGGGGTCTGCAGTGAAGAGCCGAGGCTCTGCCTCCATTCCCACCTGTGGGCCTCCCCAGCAGGGCAGCAGGCACCTTGCCTGTCGCCACACGCACCACAGGGCCACTACCAACCCGACTGGGCAAGTCCTCAGCATAAAACCTCCAGGGGCTCCCCCTTCTCAGAGTTCTGCTGCGAGGTCTCACACCAGGCTCTGTGTGGGGAGGGCCAAAACACACGAAAGCTACTCAGGCCCTGACGAGGAGCCAGCCGTCTGTCGTATAAATACGCCCACTGTGGCCATCTCAAACCACCAACCTGATGCCACTGAACATGGAGCTGGGAGGAGATGCTGACAGCCAGCCAGGCCAGGTCAGCCCCGGCTCACACGCTTCGAGACCCGCCTATGACCTGGGCATCGGGGTGGCGTGCGTGCGGCTGCTGTTGCTGCTTAGTGGCCAGGAGGAACCCGTGACATTGCAGAAGGCGGGAGCAGAGGGGTCACCAGCTATTTCCGAACTGTGCAAACACCTCCACCGGTATTCGGGCTCTTCATACCAGGCGCCACCTCGTTCTCTCCAGCTTCCCTCCCATGCCTCTTACGGGCCCTCTGCACCAGCCTTGGGGCTCCTCCAGCTCCCCGGCTGCACTGGGAGCTGTCCCTCTTCCAGGGCAAGCGCAGCTTCTGCGGCCTCTCTGCCCGCAGTGCCACCCCTCCCGCAGCCCGGACCTCACCTGTGTCCCCCATGGCTGCACGCTGTACCCCCTCACCTGTGAGTCCTCCTCTGGACACCCGGGGCTCCCAGTAGGTGTTGGTGAGGGGCTCCGCAGTGTGGCAGGTGTGCCCCGGCTTGGAGCACCACCCAACGCTCTGCATGGGGTGGTTCCCAAGTTGAGATCCTTCGGGATTTATCTTTACTTCAGGCCTTGCCCTGCCTCTCAAGTAAGCAGAGGAGGGCAAACATTAGCTTCCAACATCTGTGCTTTCCGGGACAAAAGAGCCCCGGGCCTAAGCATCTCGGTGATGCCACTTGCCACGGCCAGGCAAGGCCTGAGAGATGGTCAAGCTGCACCAGGAAGGAGCTTCATGCTGGCCCCAGGCTGCAGTTAGACTCCAGCACAACAGGCAGCGCCTAGGGTGGACACTGGATCTCTGTAATGAGCCCAGCAGGTGGAAAAGGCAACTGGGCATCCTGTGCACCTGATAGCTTACTAAAAATAGCTGGGGCAGGGTCCTTCTGGTCAGCATAGAGGCAGGGTCCAGGGCTTGTGACTGTTTGCCCATGAGTTCCAAGGCTGGGAGGAAGGCCTGGCTCTGCACTAACCCTCGCAGATATGGCCGACGCTGTGCCTCAGCCGGATGTGCAGGCTCTGGCCCGGGGCCCGGGGCCCGGCCACGCACCGCCTCCCCTTAAGCTTGGCCAGAAGGAACTGTCTGTTGGCTGCTGGTCATGTGGGAGAGGAAAGGAGACAGGGTGTGGGCAGATGCCAGTAGGCTCTGGGCACTGTTTTTTGTTGGCCAAGGGACCTGGGTACACAGACATTCTTTTTGGACCAAGGCACTGACAGCGTCGAACAGAAATGTCATGGTCTGGCCACGTGACACAGCAGAAAACAAGAAAAGAGGACAGGCATCCTCTGGGCCAAACCCCACCAATCTCCTTTGCCTTTCTGGCCCTGCAGGACAAACAGTGGGCAACAGAACAAAAGGAAAGTTCTTCTCTGCCAGGGACAGGCCTGCTGCCTTGGGTTCTTTGCTCCCTCCTATGTGTCTAGACGGGAATACTTAGCTCTCAGCACCTTGTAGTCATGTAATTTGGCCTCCTTCCCCAGCTCTAGCACCAACGGTGTACCTGGGGCACTCAACTGGCTCAGAGAAACTTTTAAAAATAAATAACACTCATTAAAAGTAATAGTAGGTATTCTTACGAGTCAGAACGTCAGCAAATTCTGGCGATCACTAAGTTATCCAGCAGAGAACCGAAGTCTAAGAGTTTGGATGAAAAATTCCAGGAAGCAAGATGACTTTCATATGAGACCCTGAGCAAATATAGCCCCCTCTCCACCCTGCCCCTTGGAGCAAGGCATCCAGTTCTTTCCCTAAGCGGCGAGGGAACTGGGAGGCTTTTGTTTTGCCAAACCATTTTCATACTAAAAGCACTCCTTTCCCTGTGACGTCCTTCAGAAACTGTTTGACTTTTAAACCTGGCCTTCTCATTGGTGCCTTGGAAGGGACACACAGCAGGGCTTGTCCTGAAAGAGCTGGCAAGGCCAGCAAGGAAACGGAACCCACAGAAGCAAGGAGGTCCCCTCTGCTGTGCCCCCTCCAAGCTCTCCCCTCTCCTAGCTGAAGGCCACCAGCGTGCAAGTTCCTGTCCCCCTGCTCTGGGGCTGTGCTGAGATCATGTTGCTGAAATGTGACGCCAGGCTCCCTCAAGCCAGCCGCGCGGCCATCCTGGCACCAGTGTGCACGCAGTCACCCACCCGTTAGCCGCGAACATCCATCACCGGGCCTCCCAGCTGCTTTTCCTCTCCGCACTTCTCGGGTCCGGGCAGGTCAGAACAGCATCTCGAAACCTCCTTGTTGCGCACCCCCGCAGGCCATGCCCCTGCGCTCTCCTCTGCCCTCCCGCCTGCTGGGCTTGGTGTAGTGGAAAGACAAGCAGATGAGAAGCCCAGCCCTGGCTTTGGGCGGGCTCTGCCACTCCCTAGCACAGCACTTGAACGTGCCACCTCTCCACCCTGGGATGGGCTTGCTTTTTTACACCTGGTGCACAGAGATTTGGTGTCAAGAAGGGCTCAGAGAGGAAAGTGTTCACGCAAACTCCCCTCATCCTTACGGAAGACATGCGGTGGTATCCAGGCAGACTCCTGACTGAGGCACAAGCCCGCCTCCACCAACCTTCTTATGACACAAGTACTTACTTCAACGTTCCCGTTTCCTCTGGTAAAAGGAACTGGAGAAGCACGCCAAGTCCAGGCAGCACAAGCAGCGAATAATCTCTTGGAAGAGAAGCTTGTTGAAATAAGTGTTTGCTGGGGACAAGGTCAGCTAGCAGGCTTGGCCTGTAAATCACTGTGCCCGCCTCAGCTTATTGGCTCTGGCAAAGACGGAAACGTGTGGACTGTGACATTTCACAGCTCCCATGATCATCCCTGCACACAGTAGGCGTTTAGTGATCATTTGCTGAGCTGAATATCTGCAAAGGCAGCTGGACAGGTGAGGGGGCAAAGCCGGGTCCACTCAAATCGGAGATTCGCTACATTAGGCCAAGGCAAGGCCAGAATCCAAGACAGACCTGCTCTAGGCTGCTGCAGCCCCGAAGCTTGCTCCTGCCAGCCTCAGCTGCGAGGGATTTTGCGGGGGAGCCCAGAGAGGCTAGAATTAACATACTTACTGTATTATGTTGCAGCATTGATAAGACTAAACTTTTAGGATTTTCCTAATGAGACTTCTACATTCTCTGGTTTTTCTTATCAGCACTGGCAAGAACCCTAGTTTAGCATTTATGTCCTTTGCTTTATAACAGAGAAAGGATCATAAGAGGGGTTGGGAAACTAGCTCTGGAAAATACCTGTGCTCCTTTTCTGTCCACCCTGTGGGATGCTAGCCCTCTGCCCCCAGCCTGCTGGATGCACTGGGCTGCCACGGACGACACACAGGCAGCCAGTGTTCTCAGTCACTCATGGTTTGCTGAGCCATGCACGAAGTGGGTGCTGGGAGAGGAGGCAATAGAACTCAGAATGTCAGGCAGTTTGGACGCCTCAGTCCCTCCCTGTCCAGTTTCTGGAAGCCACCCTCTTCCAACCAAATGTCCACAAGAACCATATTCAGCGCTGAGCGCTCTGGGAGCACCTCTAACACCTGCATACCTGACACCTGGTCAGCTCTGGGGACAGCAATCAGCACAAGGATGAGGTCGAACCCACACGGGTCCACACAGCTACACAGGCACTTGAAATCTTTCATGACAGCTTACCCTGTACAAACTTTGAGAACTTCTACTGGAAGCACTGTGTGTCCATTTGATGGTAGATGACTTTACTCCATTTGTAGAGCTGACAGTGGAGTCAGGAGGAACTAGGTATCTGGACTTGGGGCTTGGGTTGGGGGAGATGAAATCCCATCCCCAGGGGCTGGGGCGGAGTCTTGGGTTTCTCGTCTTGTACTCCAAGTCCTCGCGCCCCTTTGGGCTATAAACCTACTCTGTGGGAAGAGAAACTGAGACCCGTCTCACTTCCCCAACACATTTGGACAACTGTCCAACCTTAACAAAAGGTATTTTTTTTTTCTGATTTCAAAATTGTTAAAGGTCTCCAATCTTCCCAGAAATAAGAATAGCCATCACAGGACCAGGGGGATAGCTCGGTGATAAGAGTACTTGCCTGGCATTTGCAGGGACTTGGGTTTGATCCCTAGCAATGCAAAGAAAAAAAATCATCTTTCCTGTATTCTAAACATAACCAAAATTCAAGAAGCAACCAAAGCCTAGAACAATTGAACTGAAGGGCATCACAGTGCAGAAGCTCAGTGCTCACAGGAAAGTCCCAGCATCCTCTACTGCAGCCTATGAATGATTCCTTTGCACACATTTCTAACAAGCAGGTCTACAGGAGGGGTATGTGGGGGGCATGCTGCTGCTTTAGGCAAGAACAATGACTGCAGCAAGCTGATGGGTGAGACCGAGGTGAGATGCAGAAAGACTGTGAAAGCAGGTGCACAACCTCAGCAAACACAGCCAACTCTGCTCCTTCGGTTCAAGGGCAGACTAATCACCTCTATGGGATTCTAGGGCATCAATATGTCACTTTATAACAAATGCCATTAAAGCCACATCCAGTGAAGAGCACAGGCCTTGGAATTCAACAGAACCTTGCTCACTCTGACATTATCATCTGGGCATCTGTGGGCAATTCACTTAAACTCTTTGAGCCTGTTTTCTCCCCAAAAATGGACATATAAGTAGGTCCTATTCACAGCCATGGAGAGGAGGCTGCCTGTGAGGTGCTTAGTGCCAGAGCTGTACAAAGGATGTGTCCTTATGCCTAGAATGCTGGAGAGGGAAGCCCATGAGGGGGACCCCTCTAGACAGATTACTCAGTATAATTTAAATAATGGTTAGGGCTCTAACGGAGGTAAAAGCAACAGAGAGATGAAGACCCAAAAGAGAAGCCGGAAAGTAAGGGTGGGCACGGGAATGAAGGCAGGCCCAGCCCACCATCTCTATAAAATACCTCCCAGGTGCCTACCCCTGTGCAAGAGGCCAACAGATCCAACTTCACCCTCCCAAGCCTGGCTGCAGTTGTGAGCTCCATGTTACAGATGATGAATCCTGCACAGAAGCAAAGGCCCTCTCCCAAGGCTACACAGCTTGGATGCAGTATCCAGACACAGAACTACCCACTCCAAAGCTGTTTTCATTTTCATTTTTTGGTTAGGGAGAAGGCAAGAAAAGCAGCCTGGACTGCAGCAGATGTGGAGCTCATGCCTGTCCAGTTGGCCCCATGACACCAAACAGGGGTGAGGGGCCAGATGCACCTGTAGTTCCATTGTGCTGGGAGCAGGCCTGGGATGCCCAGACCCATTGGGAAGCTGGAGCATCCATCCTGCCAGAGGTCTGTGGATGATATGTTTGAGGAGGAAGAAAATCTATCTGGAACTGTCCAATGCATGAAACTCACTTCAAGGGGCTCCATGTAGGAACCCTCTTTCTGGGGAGGGCCAGCCAGGAGGGTTGGGCCCAGAGCCTTCTCCAGGGATTTTTCTGTATGTCACAAGGAAAATCTGTGAGAAAGCCTCCTGCCTCACCCCTCTCCCACCTTCCCCCCCCACATCACACGCCGGGCTCCTTATCCCACAGGGCAGGGAGAAGCTAGCACCCAGGATGCTCCCATAAACTCTGTTGCTTGCTTCTAACCATTGGGGTTGTGGAGGAGCTAAGGGCAGGTGAAGAAAAACAGTGACAAAGTTGGAAACATCAGAGTGAGGGTGATGGGTCTTTGTAAAATCTGGGCAGTAACCAGAGTTTCTATATGGAGAAAAATGACAATTATTGAAACCTTATATGTATCCTGAACTCTGATTTATGATAATGTAACATTTCCAGCAATAATATTTGGGGTGGGAAGATAGATGAAAATGAACTGAACTTTATTCGGGGATCTCAGTACCATGACTATGGTTCCTTTTACTAAAATGCAAAAATACCCGTAACAAGGATTGGTGTTGTACTAAGAAGCAATATATGAAAAAGTGACCTTAAACATGGAAAAACTTTTCTGCGCTGTAACACAGGAGTGTTTTACCCTCCATGTTGGCGCTGTCAATAGTCTACCTAAGAAAAGTCTTGTATGATTAATCATCAGCCGCTGCCCTTCCCAGCGGGATCTGGGGGTGTCATGATTTCAGAGACCAGGAAACAGAGGTCAAGGCTGTGGCCTGACCTTGGCTTCTGGTGAGGGGTGGGGAATTCCATGAGTCCGCTCCTTGGATTCCAGCACAAGCAGACAGTGTGCTTTGTTCCCACTCTCCCCCTCCTCCAGCTGGGAAGGCTTGGTTTCTCTTTTCAGTAGTCAATGAACCCAAACCGCAGATGGAAAGTTCAGGCTTCTCACCCTGCAGCCCTCCCACTGTGTGCATCAGCAACTGAAGTCCCGGAAGGCCCAGGTTCTTGCCTCAGACTGCAGAAGCAAACCTAACAAAATTAACACAACCTCAACTGGAACCCTACTTCCGGGACTGGGCCTGCTAGGGCTGCAGTCTATTTAACCAGGCTTCCTCCTCCAGGGGCCCCTTGACTGTCTTCAGTGGGACAGGGAAGTCTTCAGCCCCATCCGGGTCTCTCTGAGACTCCCTGCCTGGCTTCCTTCCCCACTGAGTGACAGCTCAAAGGGCTCATGTTGACACCCCAGTGCTGACAGCCCCTGGGGGGAGTGAGATACCCCGGCTCTGGGCTCAGGCTGGCTCAGTTAGGAACAGGCTGGGCTGGCAGAGTGGGTGCTACAGCAGCTGCCTGGAGGCCACAGCTCACTGGCTGGCAGGATGTCACTGGATACCAGAGGGCAGCACTCTGGGGCTGAGCTGGCAGGTGGGAACGTCCAGGAGGAGGAGGTGCACATGGGGGCCTGTGGCCAGGCGTCCTGGGGGTGTCCGAGGCTGATAAGGGAGTGTCCTAGGCGGGCAGCTGGGGAGTGACAGGCACAGGCCTGAGAGCAGAGCAGGAGCAGGCTGCAGAGTCCGGGTCAGTTTACCCAGAGGCCCATGCCCGCTAGGTGGCTGCAGCTCCTACTGTGGCCTCTGGGCATAGGCTCCACAGAGCCTCAGAACAACCCTGAGCCTGAAAAGTACAGTTGAGGCCACACTCTGTGCTGGATGCAGAGATGAACGTGCTCTCAGCATGTCTCGTGGCAGCAGAAGGAGCCCCTGCAAGGCCCACAGGCCAGCCCCTTTCCCAGGCTTGAAGACCACTGGGTGAGGTCAGGAATGCAAAGAAAGCATCCAGTGGGACTAGAGCTGAGCGCACAGCGCCACATGGGGGCGGGGCTGAGAGGTAACCCCCCCATGGTACAGGCCGGGTGCTCAGATGTAGGACACTGCACTGCAGGAGGGACACTGCTGGGGACTGGGCTGTGGGGAGGTCCACACC